GATTAAGTTGTCGACCGCTGACCACCTGCAAACCGATAGTCTGGCTGAAGGCAGAAAATGTTTACTTGGACGGTTTGCAAATACCATTATTATGGTAGCACTAGATGTCTCTTATGAAAATCGCAACTTAATTTCTTACCGATGGACTTCCATTACTCTGACGAAACTGGCAGGGTGGCCAAGGTTGCCACTGACTGTAGCGACGCACTTGATACGGACCGTGGTGCTAAAACGAATTGCTCCCACTAATTGACTTTGCGCAAAATCTCGCAAACATGCCTCCGCAGGCTTTACCCCGTTCTTAATAAATGATTTGTGAGCCCCCGGTACCTTTGACAGCGTAAAATATAAATGTGGCAAAGGCTGTCGATCATTATCCTGATATCAGCTCAGCTACACTTGGTAGCTAATCAGTGACTTCATCTTAATAAGATTGAGCGTCATGTGTAGGGCACTCGACGCTATGGCGGAATCCTCGACAAATAAAACGACACGTTGGGATAGATTTTATTGCCTAAATATCTACCTGGAAATACAGTGTCCGCGGTCTATAAGATCAAATTGCAACCGCGCTTCATCGGATCGTTCACGGTCGTAACGGAAAAGGAATTACTATAGAGACAACACATCCAAAGCAAACTCAACCACTGCTTGATATTGGCTTACTAAATCATATCGCAATCTAGCTCTAGCGATCCAGTCGGGCATGAAGCGCTTTGTGGGAGACGAAGCAGCAGCTCTACCATTCCGTGTAGTCAGTCTTTATTCTGCTCCAAAACACCGGTACAATTCTGAACTGCTGGAGGTGTTCAAGCCAGGCGGTGTGATAGCACATGTTAGGGAGCGAATTGAAATTTTAGCTCGCGCAACGTGACTATCGTAGAAAGTCGGTGTACCGACTTAACTAATAGAGCTCACGAAAGCCAGCTGCGGGGGGTCGACCTCCGCCGGCACTACTCGCACAGAAACGGGCCATTCACTTTCGCGTCGAACGTTCAATGGGTTAGACGCTACTCCAGGGATATGATTAGTACCTGGTGAAGCAGAGGGTCAATCACAGTCTGAATAAGCTTTTCCAACAGTCATATTGAGACGAACGGGACTGCTAACAGCAGGGGCTTGAGGTGATCAAGTGTCATCTCGACCTCTGCATTGAGCTTTGGATTTTGTTAAGTCGAGCATAAGACGAAGCTGTATACAGTCGACGGCTTCGATGGACTGGTTTGTTAGCCTTAATAGAGCGAGGTGACGTGCTTTCCTCCACCAATGTGCAAACTGGGTCATATACCCAGTGACACATTTACCAAAAGTCTTTTCTCATGAAGGATGCTGGTTTCTTTAACTGTGGGAGTGGCTAAAAGCGGCCGCTGTGCTACTTTCTTGCACCCGCTTTGCTCTGGTGTGAACGACGTACACACAACCATAGGCTTATACTTGTTTCGTACCAGCGGTGTGGACGACTTCGGGCAGGTCATTTGGGCAGAGTCACCGCGCCTATTGCTCTTGTGGTGGAGCAAGCTTGGCCTCTCGAGCCAGATCAGTACAATGGAAACGATCTGGACATCGTGATGGGCTTCAAGTCAAAGTGTCGAAAAACTTCCCGCCAATGCAAAGGGCAGAGGTTTGTGCAGCAGGGAGGCTGAACGCAATGAGCAAGTACTTCTGGAGGGGAGCGGCTAGACCGTGTAGCACCGCGTGAGAGCGAAGGTGATGATCAAGACCCGGAAAGTCACTGCTAGCGCTCGTATTGAAGAACACCTTGACATCCTCACCGGAATTTCTTCATGCATGTCAGTCGCGAAAATTGCGTTCTTGTTGAGCATTTAATTTGGTGCGCAGAAATAGTTTCCAATGCAAGTACGTTTAATAGAGCATGCATAGGGAATTGGCTAAATTAAGGCGCAGTACTTACTTGTGGAGCGGGTACATTTGAGAAGTGGGCTCTCTAAAAGGGTATCTTATACCTCATATATACATTTGTGGGCTCCTTTTCAGGAAGAACCATTGGTTGTACCTCTCAGCCGATAGCGAGGACATGCGAAACGCAGATATTCGTAAATTTTCAAATGCATCATCTTCAAGTACTTCGTAGCTGCTTGACAGTCAATATATGAGCAATTATAGCTACCAAAATTGGGCTGTCAATTGTCTTTCCCTCATGACCAACCAGTGCCATATGCTATTTCGCTTGGCAAATAGTTACGAGGGTAGGACATCAAGTCACTCGTGCTCCATCCCTAGAGAAGACACAGTCCTTTTATGACTCAGTTAAAGTACTAAATTTAAAGATCCTGGACTATGTGCAGATTAGGAAGTTAGCGTGTAATTATGTACAATACCCGATTGTCAAAATTAGCAGGCGGCTTGCGGGGGTATCGGAGATGACAAATACTTTTTTGATGATTTCGCGTTTTGCGACACCGATACAAGGAAACGTAGTGAATGTCCAATGACGTTCCTGTGAATTTGAAGTATTGCAGCGAAACATGGATTGAGATAGGAAGTCATCCTAGGTATGGTATGGCTGGAACATCATGGATCATAGATCGATTGGAGGCCAAAAGTATAAGATTTTCCGCTCTTTCACCCAAGCGGAATCTGAATGAGTCATGACCTTACAACTGCTAGAAAGTAGAAACGCTGTCGGCGTGGACATAAAGATGCGATTTGTAGAACATGACACAGTACGAATTGATCAAATACGATGTTGCTGAGTGCCTTAAAAAAAGCTCTCAAAGAAGAACGGGTATCTAGTCGTGTTATGGTATGGTTTTAAAAAGTGGCTCGATGTCTAGTGTCTGTTCCTGCTGAGACATAAATAAGCAAAGGTATGTCGTGGTTCCAAAACGTCCCTCTGGCGGGACATTTGTTTCAGCTGTTTTCTGCATCAATGCCACTGCAAAAGATGAACATATATATAGAATTTTTTGCATGGACGAGTTAGGGTCTAGCAGATGCGTCACCAGTCGATCAACCGTAACACGCGCACCAGACACTCAGTGAGCAATTTCAGAACCCTGCTTAGAGTACCCACTTCAATGAGATGCCTCCCACGAGCAGTCAATAAGTCATGAACCTGAACAGTGCAGCTATCCATGCCGTTCTTTAGAACGTTATTTCTACGAAACGGCGAAATGGTGGCTGCATTTTGCTTACTATAAGCATGCACGACTCACCATCTACCGTAAGCTTTTTTACCACAGATACTGGCCGCCAAGTGTGGAGACTTAATATCTTAACAAACTTGCTTCGCGTTTCCCAAACAGCGCGCTCGTGACGTCACATTGCTCCTTTGATAAGCGCCATCACCTTGTGCCGTACTATTTGGTTCCAGGGCGGATTGGGGTCATCTCATGAAGGATACCCGATTCAAAGCAACACGTTTGGGAAGTCTCTTGACATGGTTGGTCATCAAAAATAAACCGATCACTCAGTATAACCTTCCAACTTATTGCACTCAGTGCTCTGCAAATATTTCTAAGTATGGACGTATACGTGACGAATGATACGGGAAGCCCCACCCCTATGACCTATCGTACCATTTTGGTGACTTCCCTGCTTTGTAACTTTTGCAAACGTCTCGTAAGGTATTTCTCCGCGCTCGATGACAGCATTACTGGTGGCAACGAGGGGTAAATTTTATTCTTCCAAGACTTCTCTGGCCACTCCGTACACTAGCTAATGAGCTTACTCGCCACAAACATGTTAAGCATTACTGCTCCACACGATGGGCGCATGACATGGTAGTGCTGAATCAGCAGTAGCGATATATCGTGAGAAGACCGCCTATTCATTAAAACCTGGCCTTTCTACTGCTTCTTACAGCCGTCCGTCGATATCCGCCGGCTCTGGATCAGGAGATCGTAACGCAAACGCGCTTTCACTCGTTTTCACCGGCTTTGAATCATAAGATCGCAACATAAACATGCTTTACTCATCTCCACCGGCTCTTATAAATGAGACCGCAGCACGCAGTCGCTACCATCGGATGTAAACATCCACATTAAGCACTTGCAAGTCTTACTAAAAAAGTGTATACAAGCTAGCAAGCCATTGACGCGCGTGTCTCTGGTGCCGGCAAAAATCATTTTGGGATGCTTCGATGAAAAGCATGATCTACAGGCACATTCAAGTAAGACTAATACCAGATTCTATTGGCCGGTGCCTGTGTTTGAAACGACTTAATGTGTAGTTCGGCTTGGCTAACTGATTGCAGAAGCGTAGCGCCATTCATGCCGACGTGGCACGGCCCCTCACCAATTTCCGTCAGAAGTATGCCAAATTGTTGGGGTGAAGGCACTCATTATGGCAGTCAAGGTTGCAAAAGAAATCTAGATGTGTGGTGTATCTGAATCCGAATCTATCATATTTCGTCAACTGTGACTGTTCGGCCTTTGTTATAGGCTGTGCTTTACTCCAAGCTGATGTCACTAGGCATGAGCTTGCAATCGTATTTGAGTCTCGCCAGCATACAGCAACAATAAACGATACCGAGTTCATGACAAGATGCTACTTGCTATGAAGTCCGCTCTTGTCAGAATCAGATATAAACACATCATGCTTTGCAAAGTGACGTCGTCACCACCTCACATCCTTCACAGAAAATGGCAAGACGGCCATCCTCATTTCCTTATAGTTTGCTGACTATCAGCATGCATGTTGAGTCATTCTTGTGATGGAGAAGTTTGTGAGCATTTGCGTTGCACTGTCACTCTAGTTACAGTAGGTCACGGCGGCGAGTGCTAACTTTATGTGCCGAATCAGCCCTATTGGAGGTGACAGGGTGCTTTGTCGCCATATCTTCTTATACCTATCATTCGGCTAGCCAGTGGAATGAACACCGCCCAGCATCCAGCCTTATATATCTTCATGCTTTATACCAGACATACATCACCCTTTTATAATGATTGCTTTTATTTTGGTGTGCTTAACTCCAATGATGTTTTTATGGGCTTGCGGTTTGAAAAAGTGAAAAGGGAGAAGAATTATTCTTTATCTTCATGTCCGAGGACAACAGGGATCATCGTCGCATGTCATCGTCCTCTAGCCATGAAGCGATGTCCTCTCCAATACCTACGAATGTACAGGTGGCAGTACGTTGCCGCCCTCTCAACAGTCGTGAAAAGGCTATGGGACGTGGCGCTGTGGTGCAATGCAAACCCAATTCGAATGAGGTGGCTGTGATTAAACGCAAGACATACACATTTGACCGTGTATATGGCCAATATTCGACGCAAAAGGACGTATTTACGTCTATTGTGCGCCCTGCCGTTGACGAAGCGCTGGCTGGGTATAATTGTACGGTCTTTGCCTATGGCCAGACGGGCACTGGGAAAACTTACACGATGCAGGGCGATTTGTATCCGACAAGCGAGACAGCTGGTATTATACCACGTAGTGTGCACTACATATTCGACTCATTAGAGGCTAGCAGGGAGGAATTTAGCGTCCGCGTGTCCTTTTTGCAATTGTACAACGAAGAACTTAAGGACTTGCTAGACCCCGATACCGACAAAAAGTTGAGACTTATGGAGGACACAAAGAAGGGTGGAATCTACTGCATGAACTTGTTAGAAGTCACAGCAACGACCGCTAAGCATGTTTATGAACTTGTTAATACTGGTGTGAAAAACCGCATCACATCCGAGACGCTGATGAACGAGAATTCTAGTCGATCGCATAGCATTTTTACCATTAGAATTCATAGCAAGGAGCACAATGCGACCGGTGAGGACCTGCTGCGTGTAGGCCAGCTAAATCTTGTAGATCTTGCAGGCTCGGAGTGCGTTGGTCGATCGGGTGCCCGTAACGCCAGAGCGCGCGAAGCAGGAACGATAAATCAAAGCTTGTTGACGCTTGGACGTGTGATTACGGCTCTCGTAGACAACCTTCCACATGTTCCGTACCGTGATAGTAAGCTTACGCGCTTGCTACAAGAATCCCTTGGAGGAAGAGCAAAAACGACAATTATTGCAACGGTAGCGCCATGTGCGGATAGTCTTGACGAGTCTTTAAGTACTCTGGAGTATGCTTTCCGCGCCAAGAATATCAAGAATAAGCCTGAATTAAATCAAAAAATGACTAAGGCTGGATTACTGAATGATTTTGGGAGCGAGATCGAGACACTCCGCGCTGCTTTGCGTGCTGCGAGACTGAAAGATGGCGTGTATTTACCACTGGAGCAATTTACCGACATGCAAGAGCGGATGGCAGGTCAGAGCGCGCAATTAACGGAGCTAGAAGAGATGCTTAAGGCGAGAAATTCATCTTGCAAAGAGCTCGAAGAAGTTGCTGACAAATATGCAAGTGAAGTGGCAGAGTTAACTCTTGCGAAGGATGAGGTAAGCAACAAGCTCGGTGCCGTCGAAAATGAATTGTCATCAACCAAAGAAGCGCTGCAACAGTCAACACAAAAGCTGCATCAAGTACATGTTGTGCTGAAGGCTTTTAAAGCCAATGAAAAAGAGCTATTGAATAATGGAGCCACTGCGGCGACGTTGTACCGAGCCAGTGAGACGCGATCCGCTCAGCTTTTGAAGAAGATTGGTACGCAATATCTTCCTACTTCAATTTAGCTATCTACCTTACGCTGTGCGTTGACACATTATTGCAGAGAATGCTCAGCACGACGCAGAAACGAATTCCGCACTTGCGAATTCGTTTCGTAGTGAATCGTTGTTGCAACTAAATGCATTTTTAGAAAAGATGGCAAAACACAAAGAAAGTCAAGACGACATGTATCATGATTTGAAAAATGCTCTCCAAGAGTTGCAGACCTCTCAAGCAACAGATTTGAACAATTTATTCACGACGATCAATGCACTTGAAAGCCTTGTTGAAGCACGTAGAGTGGAGACCCTACAGGTGCTCGCAAGAGACGATGCCCAAAAGCGTTTTCAGCGTGAAGAGATGACCGGTTCAATTAAAAATCAGCAAGAAACGATGCAACTGCACTTGGTTGAATTTGTCGCAAGGCTTAAGAGTCACGCTACAGCTCTCATGGAGGACTTGGCGTTATCGAAGTCGAAAAATTTGTCATCACTAGACAGCGTGCAATCATTACTGGAAATTTCACGCGAAGAATATAGCAGCTTTTTTAATGAGCAGAGCCATAAATTGCTAGAATTTCAGAGTGCTATTGACATATCGATTGAAAAGCTGTCAGAAGAACTGAATGATAATAAGGTAGCAATAACAGCTGCGCTGAAGGACAATCACGTTCAGCAGCAAGAGGAACTGAGTAACATGAAGACACTTGTGGCTCAGTGTATCGATAGGTGCATTCAAAACCAGAAACAGAAGTTTGACGATCAGACCCAGCTCATCAAAGAAAATGCAAAGAAGCAACACAAACAGCTATTGTCTGTCCAAACCATGACTGAACAAAAGGTGAAAAGCTGCGTACAGGACATGAGCTCTCAGAATTTCAAGCATGAGAGCGAAACGGCTAAGGTTCGGGATAAGTTATCTGAGATGCGAGGTCAAGTTGAAGAAACAAATACACGGCAAACAGAGCTTGTTCAGACGCAAGAGCGAGTGCAAATTTTGTGGAGCAACGATGCAGCCAAACTTGGTAAAAGTCACGTTGAAGACGTGACGATACTATTAGAAAAACATACAAAAAGTGATGCTGAGGAATTGTGCAAGAAGCAGATACAACTAACGCAATTTATGGATGACCACAAAGATCTTCAACAGCATTTAAACGGTGGGTGCAAGTCATCAGAAGAAGGTATTAAAGTGCACATCGCAAATACAAAGGAAAAAGTTAAGTCGGTTTCGGAGCTTGGGAAGAAAATGATTGGTGAGGCCACTGATGCCTCCGCTCAACAACTGAATGCGATGGAAACATTCATGAAGAAAAGAAAGGTAAGCTGACTAGGTATCTTATTTAAAGTCAGTGCTCACATTTGTTTTGTTGATGCTTTATTGCTTAGATGAACGCACGGACGGAAACAACTCCAATAAAAACTGACAGGCTTTCATTTCCAGCTTTTCAAGCCACTCAAGTATCAGCGGATCAACTTGAGATTTTAGAAGACCTGACAATATCTCCAGGAAGGATAACAAATTCCAGTCAAAAGCGGAGGAAATTAAGCGACGTCGAATCGAGTCCACGTGCGAATAGTGACGTCACGCCTGTCATGGAAGACGCACCTATACATGCCAAAAGCGATTATCCAGTCAATATTGAGCTGACAACCGAAAATTCATTAGCGTTGCCTTCAATGAGCAGAAGACAAGATCCATTGCTAGTATCAGATAGCAAGTCGTGTGAAAAAGCTACCGTTAGTACTGCCAAAGAAATCAGCACCACCCCATCCAAGCTTAAAAAAGTAGGCTCGTCTGGACAACACAGAAAGAATCCTGCAACTATCCACAAGAACATCAAGGTTTCCAGTAGCTCAGCGGTAGTACGAAAGGTCGTCAAAGCGTCCGCTCTTGCCGCACCGAAGCGGTATCAAGTCAAGACACCCTTGGCAGAGTCCACAAACTCCCGCTAGTTCCATGGTGTAAGTGTAATAGTGTGTCAATTTATTAGTTTGAAAAATGAATAAGCTGTCTTTTTAATTGGTAGGAACTTAAGATATCACTTTGCGATCTCTGGTTACTATATTTGTCTGTAGAATGGATGAAGAAGAATGGGAAAAAGCCGATATGGCCACAACGAAGGTAATACCTGTGAAGCTACCGCGAAGCAAACGACGCCACTTGACAGCATTTCTGTGCCTGTGCGTCTCTACTATCTGTTACGCAGACCGTGCGTGTTTGCTTTAACGGCATCTGTCAGCTGAGCTCCGAAATCCTGCTTGATACGTTATGCTTTTGACTGTGAGCAGGCACAAACATGGGCATTGCGCTTCCAGCGTTTGTGACAAATAAAGGGGAGCAGGGCAAAGTGTTGTCTGCATTTTTTTACGGTTATATGTGCACCCAGGTTCGTCAACCTATGTAATGGCTAGAAGTTTTAACCTAATTTTTTTGTCTTTGATGCGATTTTAGATCCCAGGAGGGTATTTTGCTGCTATAGTTGGTGCAAAGTCTGTGTTGTTGACAGGAGTTATTGTCTGGACGCTATTTGTATGTAGCCTCGAATGAAAAAGCTCGTATAGATTAGATTTTTACGTATCAATGTTACTGAAATACTGTAGGATTTGTCAACGGTTTTGGTGTCAAAATGCCTTACGTGCCTATATCTTACAAGAGCAGGGATGGGGCTTGGAGAGGGTATTCTATTCCCGTGTATGCACCAAATTGCTGGTGCATGGTACCCTGTGCAAGAGCGGAGTCGCCTTGTATCGCTAGTGGCAAGCGGTTCGGACTTAGGCACTATCTCTGCACTGATCATTTCGCCTTATATAATGGCAGCTGGTGGCTGGCAACGCATCTTCGTTGTGTTCGGTGTTTTAAGCCTCGGTTGGGTCATGGTCTATGCAATAATGGGAGTTAGTCGACCTGAAAACGATCCTAATATCACCACGGAGGAACGAAACTTCATTGTTAGGAATCGAACAGTGAATGTGAACGCTTATCGTCATCAGAGCTCACGCGCTGGAAAAGACACTCATGCAATCAATTGGCGCGTGTTGCTGACCTCGCGGCCAGCATGGGCAATCTATATTGCACACATGTGTTACAATTACAGCTGGTACATTCTGTTGGGCTGGATTCCACAGTATTTTAATCAAGCACTGGATTTTGACCTGACCAAAAAAGGCGGATTGGCTGCTGCGACACCCTATATGTGTGGTTACATCGGAACGCTTCTGTTCGGAAGAATTGGAGATCTGCTGGTTGCTCGTGGGTACCGTGAGCTGCACGTACGTCAAGCCATGAACGCATTTTCATTTCTCGGATGCGCATCCTTTCTGTTCTCTCTTCGCTTTGCGAGGACTGCCCCCATGGCAGTAGCTTTAATGTGTCTAACCCTTTTTACTAGTCGAGCTGCAATGGCTGGATACTGGGTTAACATGATCGACGTGGCACCTCAACACGCTGCACACGTAATGGGAATCTCGAATACTTTTGGAACCATACCTGGTATAATTGGCAATGTGGTCACGGGCGCAATACTACAAGCATCAGGCTCGTGGGACCTCGTCTTTGCGATTGCTGCACTTGTTCTTATCTTTGGTGCTGTATTCTTTCACTTTAATGCGTCTGATACATCCATATACGCACAGATCGGACACGGTAGCAACAGGTACAGCACTTCCAGCACCACATCAAGTACTTTTTTTGGTAGCCCTTACCTTTCAGCCTCAATTTCTGAGCTTCGAGATGAAGAGGAGAAGCTTCTCGACAGCTCGACGTAAAGATAACAAGTGGTAGTGGGTACTTTTAATGCTCCTTTTGTCTTAAACTATAGCGGCCCAAATTTAGTTTTCGAAGCTGATAATGCGATATTTCTTCGGTTGAGAATCTTTGTTGCATTTCCACAAACAAATCGGTGGCTATCACCCAATTTTCTCGTTGTTCCTCAGCGTAAATGCGTTCAATGTAGCTGTCTACGTCGGGAATAATGCGATAGACAGCGAGACCTTGCATTGTAATGAAGATTGGAGCGACCAGCTCGTGTTTTTCTGCGTTATTGCACATTTCCATCACTTTATTAAAAACGGCAACTCCGGGTGGAATACCAAAAAGTACTTGCCAATCAGGAAGCATTCGTACAGCACAGCGCCATTCGCCCAAAGTCTCTAGAGACTTCAACAGCTGTGTAACGACAAATTCTGGCGGAATATTGCCCGTTGCAAGATGCCATTTGTGAAGAAGAGTGGGTGCTTCTACTATGCGATTCTTGTCTCGCGTTGCTGTGCAAGCCGAAATATAAGCTGCTAAGCTCGATTCACTCACAAGCTTACTCTTCAGATCAATTACGTCATTGCACCGCTTACGACGAATCAGTCTATCAAATATGGCAATGACGCCTTCAAAGTCCTTATTCACGTTGCATGCTGCAATTGCATGCTCGTACGAAGTCAAATCAGGCTTCACGCGAATTTCCTGCATCTCCTCGAGCAAACCAATCACGCTAGCACGGACCCATGCGGCTTTCATACGCTGATTGAGCTCGTCTTTCCGTAAAAGTGTTGCTTCCAGCTCTTTACCTTCGATTTCGATGGTTTGGTCAGAATTATCAGAGTTCACCATGCGTCCTCTCTGATATTCACCATCCATTTCATGCTCATAACCGTTACGATTGTCAACCCTCTTGTGTTCAGCATAATTTGCTTGTTCGTCTGATTCTAAGGTGTATTTGTGAGTTTTTCTCGACCAAGCAGCCCGCATTCCGGCTCTGACAAATGCGTCGAGTGTAGTATTAAAGGAAATAATATCAAGTGTTACATTTTCCTCGCTCCGAATTAGACTCAAGACATCAAGGGCGCGACCAGGCAAAGCAGCTTCTGCACACGCCAGCAAAACCCGGTTGTAAATATTTATGGAAACTCTGCCAAACTTTTCTTGAATCTCCTCTGCAATCTCCCAGGCACTAATCACATTTCCAACGCGAGCGTATGCAAATACTACAGGCTCGTATGTTTCAGTTGTTAGAGTAAATGCTTTTGACGTCTCCATAGCTCTAATAATCCCAAGCGCCCCATCAGGATTTCTGGCATTCGCATAGAGTTGCATAGCTCCAGTAAGAGCCTTTAGCGAAGGCATGTAGCCATCACTAGTCATTAAGTGGTCTAAGAACTTCAGACCTTTTTCAAACTGCTGCTGAATTGCACAAGTAGCAAAGAGTAAACCGAGTGTTAAATCATTGGGCTGAATTTCGCGCTTCCTCATTATATTATACAGTGCAAACGTTTGATCCACATCACCAAGTTTCCGATAATAATCAAATGCGTTATTGAACACTCCAATATCCAGAGCTGCGGCAGGCGCGTCACGACAGGTGGTGGCAATTAGATCACTCATCCACACCATCAACTCTCTGTCTTGACTCACCATATCACCTTCTTCGTTCTCCTCGAAGTCATCAAACATTTGAGTCTCTGTCTCATATACAACAGCGACGCTGCTATCATCGAAAGTCTCCAAGTACGTAGAAAACAGGCGAAACAATGAGTAGAACGTCGCTGCATCGGGATCTAGCTTTAGATCTTCAGTGCACCATTTGAAAAATGAAAGCGCGTGTACCACTGTGCGAAATCGCTTCTTGTTGTTGCCGTTGTTATATTTTCGTAGGTTTTTGATGAAAGCCTTCAGTAAGGTATTCATAGTCACTTGGTCAGGCTGCAATTCGTTATTAATCATGTCTTTTAAAATTGACTCAAGTTCATGCACATCACCTTGAGCTGCACAAGAGTTTAGCAAGGCGTTGAAGCTCCACGCCGTTGGTGCACAGTGTGGAAAAGACTCAGCATACACAAACATCTTATTCAAAACGGTCTTGGCATCAGCCGACCAGCCCTGCTTCCCGCAAGCCCCCAAAACGGCATTGAAGTCATCTAGTCTTGCACTCTTGGCATTGATCAATTCTTCCAGCACAAGTAGCTTTCCGTCCAAATTTAATGATAGTCGCGAAATAGAACTGGGAGCCCTGACTGCAGCATTCATGTCATATTTTTCGAGAGCACGCTCAATACTTTCCATTAGATTTCGACTCTTGAAAAAAGCTTTCTGGTGAGGTTGATTTTTCTGGGACCAGTCTTGCTCATCCAGTGCCCAGACTATAGCAGGAAACGAAGCGTCACATTTCTCGACCAGATTCGCCAACTTAGAACTTACATCTACGGTAGCTCTATCTTTGGTGGTCACGTCTACTTCATTAATGCGTTGCAAAAGTCTAAGTGCGTACCGTGCTGATTTCCAATCTCCACGCTGGCGGCAAGCATCAACAAGTGAGTTTACAACTTGGCGAGTCACCGGCAGCTTATTCAGATTTTTGTAAGAGGATTCGCGCTCGACACAGTGCATGTACGTTACCGCCTTTTCCACATTGCCTTCACTCAATAGATAATACACCATCGTCCGTGTCGTGACTGTGTTTGAAATGACGTTGAATTTATCCCGTGCGCGTTTTAAAAGGTCCAGCATCATCGCTGACCGTCTCCTGTCTCGTGAATACACTCTGAGCATGGCGTTTATTACTAATACTGTTGGCTTTACACCAGCCATCAGCATTTCAGCAAAATACCGCTCTGCTGTCCTTACAAACCCCTGCTTCCTCGCGCAACAGTTAATCATACAGCCATAGATGTGAGCAGTTGGTAATTGCCCACACCCTTTCATTTTCTCTAGCACATGCCTTGCACTACGTAAATGTCGGGCTCGACTACAAGCCGCCATAGCCACTTCGAAGCTCGTCTGATCCGCGCTTCCTTGGGCCACCATGGCATCCAGCAATGCTAGCACTTGAATAAGATTTACGTTCATTAAGGTATTTTGCCGCTTACAGTAGTGACGCAGTAGCAAATTGTATGTGTAGGGCCAGATCACGGCTTTATCCGAGTGACGTTGATGCAGTGTCACGACAACAGCCCAAGCGCGATCATAATCGCCCTTCTCTAGAGCTTCTACCACTCGACGGTTATAAAATCTCTTTCCTTTGTCAATCGGCAGTGAAGTTTCTACACTCTTTACGGTGGCTCGTAATCTCCACGACAGCTTGAATGATTCAGTGAGTCGCTGCAGCTTTTGAACATCGTTTACTGCGACTACTACGAATTGGCGTTTGCAAATTTGATTGAAAGAAAATTTTGAGCTTATGGAACCCAATGCCCCTGATCTGCCAGGAAAGAAGATTTGTATTCGTTGTAGCAGTGAGCTCCGGAACGCCATCACCTAGTGACCTTATGCAGAGATTATTTTTATCCAATTAAAAAAATAGTACGTTGTAATGACCTTTTCTACAATTTCAAAATATCAATTAATGATGCGCCGACGCGGTAGTAGCGCTCAGTTCAAGCAATTTGTGCTACCTGTTAAGAACAAGGCAACACTTATTGACTCCCAAAATAATGAAGAGGATGCATATGAAGATACAGATGCTGCAAAAAATCGCCTTGCGCTGCGCAGCGGCACATCACTTTCAGTCAAGCGGCTACCTTTTCTTTCATTTGTCGTGACAGAGCCTGAGCGACGTGCGCGGCAAGTACGACAACCATTCAAATCCCCATGTGGAGAGGGCGGTCGTACACAAGAGAGTAATCGTTTGCTAGTCACAAAGACGCTGGGTATGCGGCGGCGCTGGGGCCCCGTGGTACTGAAGCCCATGGTGCGTCACGACCTACCGCCAATTGAAGTGGACGTTGACGAAGTTGACATGTCCACTGATTCGCGGCCTGTTGATACTGAATTTCCAGTCTCGATTGCAACTCCAGAAGCCGATGCGCCACCGCCATTGGTGTTGTGGCAGTGTGAGACGGACTCGGACGTCAAAGTTGTAGTACCGGAGATTGTAGGCAAGTTTTTGCGCCCGCATCAACAGGAAGGTGTGCGCTTTATGTTTGATTGTGTGTGTCGAGTAAAAAGCTTTGAGGGAGAAGGATGCATCTTGGCTGATGACATGGGTCTTGGCAAAACTTTGCAGAGTATTGCATTGATGTATACGCTACTGATTACGGGCATGGACATGAAGCCGACAATATCTCGGGCAATTGTTGTGTGTCCTACGTCACTGGTGAAAAATTGGGACGACGAGATTATCAAGTGGCTGCATGGGCGTGTGAAGACAGTAGCGCTGTTTGAAGCAAAGCGCGAGACTGTGATCAAAGGCATTGATCAATTTATCGAAGGAAGCACGAGACCACGTGAATTGTCTCCTCAAGTTCTAATCATTTCATACGAAACATTTCGTATGCATGCCCAAAAATTCGCAGATACACCAGCGTGTTGCGACTTGCTTATTTGTGATGAAGCTCATCGACTCAAGAACGCTAACTCACAAATCAACAAGGCGCTGTCGTCTTTGGCATGTCGTAAGCGTGTACTTCTATCCGGCACTCCAATGCAAAACGATCTGGAGGAGTTTTTTGCAATGGTCGACTTTACTAATCCAAGCATTCTTGGGGCGCCAAGCGAATTTCGAAAAAATTATCTGGGACCAATTTTAATCGGCCGTGAACCGGACTCTACTGACCAAGAACGACAAGTGGCACAGTCATGCTCAGCAATGCTTTGTGAAATTGTGAATCAGTTTATTTTGCGTCGAGGTAACATTTTGAACGCAAAGCATCTCCCGCCAAAACTCATGCAGGTAGTCTGCTGTCCACTGTCGCCACTTCAAGAGCAAATTTACAAACACTTTTTATCATCTAGTGCTTTCCGTGATATGATGAACCGCTCAAGCTCGAACGTTCTATCGTCAATCACTGCTCTGAAAAAATTATGCAATCACCCTCTTCTAATTTTTGACGAGATGGGAAAATCCAATACTAAGCTTCCTGGATTTAACAACTGTGCTCAATACTTTGCAGCAGCGAAGAATTCCAAAGACAGCAGAGGCGGTGATGGCCGACACCGACGAGGTGGATTAGGAGGCCGTACCTGCTATCCAGAGTGGTCGGGAAAGATGCTTCTACTTGACCGCTTGATGTACTCAATGAGAAAGACAACAGCAGATCGGATTGTGATCGTGTCGAATTACACGCAGACATTAGATGTCGTCTCTACTTTATGTCAGGAACGGCAACTTCCATTTGTTCGTTTGGATGGCACGACATCCGCCAAGAAGCGAAAAAAGCTGGTCGATACCTTTAATGACCCGACAACAAACTCGTTCGCGTTCTTGTTGTCAAGTAAGGCTGGTGGATGTGGCTTAAATTTGATTGGTGCAAATCGATTGGTGCTCTTCGATCCGGATTGGAATCCTGCAACGGACAAGCAAGCTGCTGCACGAGTGTGGCGTGAAGGGCAAACTAAAATGTGCTATGTGTATCGCTTTTTAGCAACGGGAACTCTGGAAGAAAAGATATTTCAGCGTCAATTGTCCAAAGAGGGTCTTCAAAATATCGTTGACGATAAGGAGGAGGTGAACTCGCTATCGTCTAAGGACTTGAAGAGACTGTTTGTGTTTCGGAAAGATACAATGTCTGATACACACGATCAGCTGAAGTGCGATCGCTGTCAATGGAGAGAAGATAGCCATGCTTCTGATGATAAAGTATCATCTCCAATAGTGATCGATGATGTAGTTACTAACGAAAAGGGGATAGAGAACAAGACATTATATGAAAAAGAGATCTCAAGTCAAGAGAACGCTACAGACAAGGGCTACCACCCACAAATCGGTATGCCGCCGGAAGAAGATTTAAACAATTGGGGTCATCATCGCTCATACGCCTCTGTCGACGACGAGGTTATGCAAGCAGCCTTACAGCAAGTCGAGAACGATCTTGTTAGTTTTGCATTCAGCTGTCGTATTGACTGGGAGTTGCTCCAAGAGCATCATGCTGAAAACCAAAAAAAAGATATTAAGCGTGACCAAGAGCGCAAACGAAAACGTCTGGAGATTATTGAGGCTGCAAATCACTGTGCTGAAAAAAAGAGAGCATCGCAATCCGTTAAACGGAAGAACTTAAAAAGTTTTGGCGATTCAGACGATTCGGAGGTCGAATTTCCAGGGTCTGATGGAGAAGAACTGAACGAAGTCCTGTTTGAAAATGATTCGAACGAGAGTGAAGACTCGTCCTTGTCGGGACATCAACGTAGCCCCGCGACCTTTGAAGTTGACGTGTTGTGTAATCCCAAGCCAACCTTTCATCGTCCAACGCAATCACTGGATAATCGTGTTGTGTCTGAAGATAAAGACGCAGTGCCAGGTCAGTCAAATCGAAACGTGTCATTTGCGCTCGAGGTGGATGAAGCCTCTTGGTCCCCCTCAAAAATACAGACGACAAGCCAGACTTCAGATTTTGAGGACGAGGACGTTTTTGTAAGTGACGTTCTTCGCGATCACCATACGATGCGAAATAAAGAAATTAGCACGAGTGATGTGGGTAGTGAGAATACTCTTTCGGTGACTTGGAGTTGTTTGCGCTGTACGTTGATAAATTCGGAAACTAATGGTAGCTGCTCAAGTTGCGGCTATCGCTATCAACGATCTCGGCCGAAAATTATTGACCTGAGCGACGATGAGGAGGAAGAATGCTAGATTAAATGTCAAAGAGGCTCTCACTGTATTCTCTGTATTCTCTATCAAAGAGTTCGGTGATGAACCTTGATGTCCATACACTTATTTATTTTTGCAAGATGGCTGCTGGGTTACTTCGTGGCTATGTAAGCCGATTGCTACGTATTGCTAAACCTTTCCAGATAAAACCCCTTTCTTTGACTGTGTGAATACTCTATCAATTATTGAAGTCTCTTCACGCCTCAGTCCTTCCCAAAGTTCATCAGTCTTGGGCGATATTTCACCTCTGACATTCTGAGCTCCCTTTACTCTGACTGGTGCCATCGCTGAGCGTTTAATTGTTTTATTCCGAGTCCTCTGCAAATTGCTCTCGGCTGCTTGCAATGCGAACCACGCATCTTCTGCTAATCCATATGATACATCTTTTGCTTTGTCAACACCAGGAATCTCACACTGCTGTGACATCAGTGTCGAATTATCCTCGTCTTGATAACATTGCTGCAGTCTATCCAGCAACAAGCCGACCAAAGGATTTTTTGGCTCGAGCAGCTTCACTATCCCTGCATCGTCCAATGCCAGCTGAAAAACGCACAGACTCCAGTTGAGATCAAAACGAGAAAATGCTCAGTGACAGTAAACCAACCTTCCTCTTCCCTCTGCGCTCTCGTGCCAACGCTCGTCGATAGTAGGCCTTTACACAACTTGCGTCAGCTTTGATTACTAAAGTGCAGTCTTGTTCTGCAGCTTTCAGCGTGGTTTCACTGCTATCACTGTTTGGCATTTGAAGCCAAGCCCACGCGCGGTTCAATCGCACTGCAATTTCTAACTGTCGCGCTATCTCATCAGTGCAATTAGTTTGCAGCTGATTGATAATGGAAGTATATACTTGCACGGCATCGGCAAAGCGTTTTTGCTGAAACAGCATATTGCCTTCATTTTTCTTCGCCTCCATCGCTTCGTACCCAAACAACCTTTCGCGAGATTCAAAAATATGGCCGCATATCGATTGGCAGATTCTGAGACTTTCTCCCTAATTCGGCATTTACCCAGGTCTGACACCCTGATATGCTTTGTAATATAGCACCCATTTTGACCCGATCCTTAGTCTAATGGCACAGACACACCAGGCTTCGAAGAGTGCACACGATTTTATATAGTAATTTCAATTTAATTCGCAAATTGGAGATGGGATTTGAACCCCTGTCAATTTCATGAGAATAATACTCTAGTCTATTCACCAGCCGAACCATTGGCACGGTCTTGTATGAAATAGTAGAGGCCCTGAATCATCACGAAATGTCAGACATTTACCACTATATCTTTTTCGACTACGGGTCAACTATGCTCTTGGCGAATGCCTGAACATTGGCGACACGCGTGGCCGTGTCGAGAGAATCCTCTATGACTTTTACAATTTTTGAGCCGATCACAACACCATCTGCGAGCGCGCTGGCTTGTACGAAGTGTTGGCGCGTCGATAGCCCAAAGCCCAATGCGAGCGGGTGCTTTACGTTGGCACGAACTGCAGCGTTCAAATGGCTTGATAAGCTCAACAGAGTTTAAACAAATATAGGACAGCGCACAACTTACTTCTGGCAATAAACGCTTCGAGATTAGGCGGTAGCTCAGCACGAGCACCAGTAACACCAGTGAGACTCACGCAGTACACAAAGCCATGCGCCACAGCGTTAATAAGCTGCATACGCTCGTCTGTTGTCGTTGGAGAAACTAATGGGATGTAGGCGAGGCCGTGTTTGGCCGCGTCGTTACTGAGCGACTTTGCTTCCTCAGGCGGTAAGTCTACAATAATGAATCCGTCCGCACCAGCTGCACATACATTTACTTAGACTCAAAATCACACGTTAAGTGATATCGACCTAATTTCTACCTTTCTGAGCATCAACGCAAATCCTGTCTTCGCCATACTGCAAGATATTGTTGTAGTAGCCCATGAGGACAACTGGCGTGATGAGGCCTTTACTGCGCGCCTCACTCACTGTAGCCAAAACGTCGTGCAATGTGATGCCTTGATCTACTCCCACCTGATGAGCGCGCTGAATGGT